ATGCATAAAAATCTCATCAGCAGCATTTATTTATATAATTTTAATGCGTGCTATCTGTCAAACTAAATATTTGCTTTTACTACGAGAAAAATAAATATTGCCAACTCGCGCTATTTATTAAATAAATCGTCGTGATTAAATGAATTATGCCATACTATTTTGTTTTACTAACTCTTTAGTAAGTTTCTACAAAGGCATAGGTAGCCCAGTGGTAACGCGCTCGTTTGGGAAGCCGTGTGAAGCGGGTTCAAATTCCGGGTCACGCTCCTCTGATATTTCCATGTGCGAATCACTTTCAACATGATTACCACTTGTCTTACGGTGAAGGAAAACATCGTGAGGAAACCTGCATGTCTGAGAAAACATAGCAAGTTTTCGAAAGATATGTGAAGTCCGCCAACCCGCACTTGTCCAGCGTGGTGGACTATGGCTTGATCCCCTTCGTATTCAAGGGAGGCCCGTGTCCTGCAGTGGGACGTTAAAAAAAGGCTGAATACAAAAAGTCTATACATACTAAGATCTAATTTTATTATTATGTTGGATGTGGTGCCGAGGTCGGCCCTAGCTACGTCGACCAGTTTTGGTCCATTGTAGCTACTAAGATCTATCTTGAAAAAGATTTATCATGTAATTTCTAAGTTAAGACTATGCGTGGTGCATACGCATTAGGCTCGTTTTGTTAAAGTACTTATTATCTTCAATTTTTTTTTATTTTGTTTCAATGCCAAGACAATGTAAACAGGGTAATTTATATTATATTATAATACATGGTCAATGCATTCATTAACCTCAAACACTAAAATTTTTAATTTGATTTAAATATTTGTTTATATTATTATAGTGTTCGGCTAATAGTCGAAGTTGAAAAGAGAAAAACATATATAAATAAAATTTAACGATTTATTTAAAAAAAACAAACTCAATCCAATTTTTTTTTATTGAAAATGCTAGCCAATATACATATCGACTATTTTAAGAAGATATAATTTAATTTGTATTAGATTACGGTAAACAGACGGATTTTTTCCGCATTTTTTTATATTAAACATTTAATATATGTATGTACATATTATATAGATAAGCATTTGGTTACAAATGTAATAAAATATAATGTTTAAACAACTTTCAAAAACCAAACACCTTCCTAACCTTTGAAATATTATTTTTTACGTACATTCACTGATTTCTTGGAGACGGTTATAACGACCAAATTTAAATTGTATTTTTTTAGGTCATATTCGGAAGTAATCATCTACATATATCTCTTTTAATATGTGGAAGATATCGCTTTTAAGGAAGTCAGGAAAAACCATAATAATACTCGTAATAATACGAATATGGAAACAAATCTATTACGTCAAAATATAGTTCTTATTTTCAAACTGATTTAATGTATGTGACAATTCACTATAGTACTATCATCTCGACCGATTTCGGCCAAGTGGCCAATCTCACTGAGACTAGCCAACTGCGCAGGAGATATTATAGTGCACAAGTGTACGCGCAGACGGGCAGACACTGCACTCTCCATTCCTTTCCTCAAATGACGATGGGACGATAATTCGACAAGAACGGTGAGATCAAGCGCAGAAGCGACAGCTTTACATGCTCTCCGAGGCACGAGGGTGAAACACCGCCAACTTCCTAACTCCGGGTTGTTACTAGCACTTTCTTAGCAGGAAGACTTAATAACTAAACTTGGGACTTGCTAGCCACTACACCTTGCAACTTTCTAGCCACTACGCCACCAAGGCAGTTAACTGGGACTATAGTATAATAATACTGAGGCATTATATAGCTGATCGTAAGATGAAACTTGATGTGGTGTATAGTAGAATTCTTTCGTAGTCAGTAGAAACTACTTCGGCTTCGGGCTTATTTAGTTTGTTTGGCAAGTCTAAAATATTATAGTTGAGTTTCAGTTTTGTACATTACGTATTGCAGTATAAAATCTTCATTTAGTTATATTTTACTATATAGTCTTAAAATTTGTTTAAATATTTGTTTAAAAAGTTTCTATTTATACTTTCTTAGATTTATGCGAATATTTGATATTAAAAAAAACCATTTGTTCTGTTTTTTTTGGCGGTTTTATTTTAATTTTTGGTATTCAACGTTCCGAATGTTTTACAACAAACATGGTCACGAGAGAGATTTATTTAAAAGATAGTATATTAAGAGGTGCTGCTGCCAATGGCTAGTCGCGTATTTATGCATAGGAATGCTAACGAGCATAATATTTTAAGTACAATGATAAGTGTTATTTCTGTTACACGCCGTATATACGACCTACAATACTTTCTACTTGCACTTACGTAATTTATTGCTAACTAAACTGAGGAATTATTTTTTTACACTTATTCATAACAAATATATTTATAAAACTTCTAATAATAACTTATTATACTATAATTGATATAATTATTAAGCCTAAGATATATAAAGTAATTGAAAATATTTCAATTTGCAATATTTATTTTATGTTAGTTTTGACCCGCAGCTCCTTTAGCATAATAGGTATGTATTCAGCCTTAAATAAAACTATCTTTTCGGTTTTTTCGCGGTTTTTTTTTGGATTTTTGGTTCCAAAAATCCAAATAAATCCGTGAGAAAATCCGTTTTATTTAAAATGTCAAATATTTGCGTAAATCGAAGAAAGTATTATAATCAGCCTTAATTATCTTCCTATATTTATATTCAGCTCTTATTAACATTCCACTATTGACATTTTAAATAAAACTATTTAAAATTGCAATAAGTAAGAAAGTTATATTCTACTATTGGGCACGGTACGAGAGGGATCAGGCCATAGTTCACGCTGGCCAAATGCGGGTTGGCACACTTCATATGTTATTTGAAAACTAAATAGGTTAACTCAGACATACAGGTTTGTCACGATGTTTTCCTTTACTGTAAGGCAAGCGGTAGTAATCATGTTGAAAATGATTCGCATATGAAAGTATCAAGGTTACCCTGGATTTGAACCCGCTTCCATTTTTGAGTTTTTGGAATAATTTTAAAAAATTATGGCTAGGCACTGTCTGTAACAGGTATATAATGATGCTTGAGATGTCTAAAACCTTAGTCTCTCCCGTTACCATGATTGCTGAAAATTATTATAAAATATATTTTTTCATTTAAGACCTATTTTTAATTTTTATACTTAAAATGAGCAAATCTAATTATGTAAAAAGGTCGTAAATTCAATTTATATTATGTATAATGCGGAAAAGCTTCTATTGAGCTGATCTTAGCAATAGTAAAGTAAGTTTTGAAATAGATAACGAGTTTTGAACCGATCAGCTGTTTACTGTTCATTTTAGTACACATTAATCGTGATAGACGTTTGTTATAATTGATATTTTGCATTGTATGCCGTGGATTCGAATGTTCTGAAAGCTAGCGCGAGCTAGCGTACTACGTTATGTAACAACATTTTTAAACCACTTTAATTTTAACAATAACTCCTAAATGAAAAATTTTAAAAACAGTCTTTTTTAAATTCATATTTTAGATTATATTATGTTCCTTCGTCAACTTGTTCTCATTAATTTAGTTCGCTTTTTGCGCTGTCGGTTTTTTTTTATTTTTGCAATTTTTTTTGTTTACAGTTTTTTAGTTTCGGTCAGTTAAACATATTTCGTTTCATTTAACAATTTCTTATTCTAAATTACTTTAAAACATATAAGTTGTATATATTTTTGTAATCTTTAATCCAAATCCATAGTAATTATTACATCCGCCATTTTGTTTTCAATGACATCAAGACGAATCATCAAAATCGGGTAGCCCTTTAGTAATTACGAGGGAACTTCGTCGGGTCGGACATACATACATACAGGACAAACACGTAACCCCTCTTTGGGCTTCGCCGCAGTGGAGTAAAAGTAGCCCTTTTAAGAAACTTAAGTATCTTATTCATATACTAGTGAATACTATATTTATACTAGTGAATAAGATACTAGTGTATTAAATTACTTATAATCAAGGTTGGCCAAATAGTATTATTTTTAAAATAAATGTTTTTTTTAATATAACATAGAACAAATATTTAAAAAAATATAAACTCATAAATCAGAGTAAAATATATCGATTGCATGAGGTCCTAAGACTTCGAAAAAACTGAACAGGTTACGTATTTTTTTAATAGATAATGCTTGTTTTGGCAACTAATACGTACTCTTATTTTTAGACATACTTAAATGCAGGCCGTGAAAGGAGGGCGGTTACTCAATTTTCTTACAAATTTATGTATACAGATAATTACCACATAAACACACTTAATAAAATATTATACATCTGTACATAAAATATTTTTTGGAAAATCTTATTGAAATAGTCATTATTATCGATACAGAGGCCGAATCTATAGTTTTTAGAATTTTTGTCTGTTTGTCTGTCTGTCCGGCAGTTACCGAAACTTGGTATGGTGATAGCTGGTTATCCGGGTCAACATATAGGATACTTTTTACCGCGGGAAAATATCTCTTCTTTGAGAAATCTATACTAAACGTTAAAACTTAAGTAGGGACGAACCCGAGCGGAGCGAAGGTGATATATTCTTTTAAATACCTTTATTAAGTGTGCAGTATTAATTTACTAAATATACAAATTCGCAAGAGAAAATGTATAAATATGTACTAATTTATACAATATGGACTTTCTTTCGCTAAATAAATGGTTCATTTAGACTGGTTCGTATTTGTGAATATTATTATTTTATTCTTATTTATATAACTTCTGATTCGACTTTTTTTTCGTTTCTAGATTTATGTAATGTTGAGGTGAATTAACATTAGGTGAAATTTTTACATGTGTTATATTCAAGATTCTTATTTAATTGTTTTTATTACATAATAGGATTATAATGACATATTAAAAGGAAACATTTTCTTTTAAAGTAAATTTTAAATTATAATAATCGCTTGTGTGTTGTGTTAAATGACAATCAATGTAATTATAGTACTGCATAATATATATTAAATAAAAAAATGACTTACTTTTCAAAGCCCATAAAATTTTATCCTTCAAGCCTTCTACGTAGTCTTGTAGATCGTCCCTACATTGACCGTTGACAGCAAGCCGCAGCTCACTCCACTGACCCACAAGGATCTCAGCATCCACTATTCTCAACATACTTTCTAGCCCCATCAAATGAGATTCATTTGAAATCTTCATTTGTATTCTAGTTTCGTTCATAGTATTTCTTGTAGTATCGCTTAATTTTCCCAAAACATTTTTTGGCATCGATGTCATTCTTTCTACTAATTCTTTTCGAGTACTTTTTATAATGTGCTGGACATTATGAGATTTTTCAGTAGTAGATGCTCTCTTTTCAGTCGCCACATTGCCGAATGCTTCAGCGAATGTGAGACCGTCGTCGTCTGCGAATAAATCGAAGGAATCTTCTGTCGTTAACTTTTCGTGTTTGCTCGTATTAGGCAGTGGTATCATAGACCCTATTAAATCTGACGAGAGGTCGTCATCCAATCCGCCTTTGGATGAAACTTTTTTAATATTTTGAAAAGCGTCTATCAAAGCACTTCGGAGCTTTTCTTCTCTAGCGGTCTCTTTATCACTGGCGTCGGCAAGAGCATACGCACTGATAACCAAAATAATAAACACTATACGAGACATTTTTTATTTTATTTTTAACACTAACACATGCCTAAAAATTTGGGGGCGCAAATATTAATAGTTTTTGTGTCAAACGTGCGCGCGCGGCATAGTCGAAGCTCGACTGAATGGTTGGACTCGGTATGACATAACATTATACACTTTCACTGCCGACGTCGGAGCAGGTGACTCCTTGCAGGGCGCTTGGTCCACTTCTTTTGGATTATTAGCATTTTTTTTGAAGGACGTTTCTATGTATTGTGTAATTCTAATGCCTTATGGATAATAATAATAAATTTTATTAATTGGTTGAAGTATGTGAAGTAAATATCAAAAATGCTCATGAAATTGAAAATTTTATTTTTATTGATATTACTAAAAATTAAACATATACCTAACATGAGAGAAATTTGCAAAGATTTTTTATCTAAACTATAGTTACGAAACAATAATGACGAAAAGTTAAGGGGGATAAATTACTTATCAGATAAAATGTCTAGAATGTCTTAACCAAAATTTAAGTAATTAAAATAAAATTGTAACTGAGTCGAATCTGTACATTAGATATTTTTTGGAAAATCTTATTGAAATTGTCATTATTATCGATACAGAGGCTGAATCTATACTTTTTAGATTTTTTGTCTATCTGTGACCGCATCACGAGAAAACTACTGGACAGAGATTGATAATGATAGCTGGTTAACCGGGCCAACATATAGGATACTTTTTACTGCGGGAAAATATCTCAACTCTGAGAAATCTATTCTAAACGTCAAAATCCAGCTGTATGTATATACATACATACATTTTTATCCCACGTTTATAAATTTCTTTAAAAACCATGAATAAGAGGGGTTTCTCACAACGAACGTTCAACATTGTGCGTATCAGTAATACTTTACTCGATTTATGTGTGAATTTGTGTGGTTTCTTTTCGCACTTTCCACTATTCTCTCACTGATTTAAAGCACTGATAAAACATTAAAATCTTTTATTGTCCTATCTAATGTTTTAAAATAATAAAATTAAACTCAAGAATATATTTGCTGAACTTGAAACTAGGCAAATAGGTATTTTCAACCGACTTCTAAGTAATTAAAGCCTACCTATTAAATACATACCTAATCAAATATTTTCGAAATCGGTGCCAGCCCATACAAAGCAAAGCACACCGACTTCGAAAATATTTGATTAGGTATGTATAGTAAATGAAAACTACCAATCAGTTATTTTTTACTTTTTAGTGCTTTTGTTTGAAGTCGGTTTTTATTTTTTTGTTAAAAAGTTTTTATGTATAAAAAAATTGCAATATGTATTTTACAGTTAGTCTAAAATGATGACAATGTTTAACGACACGTTTGGCTCAGTTTGTAGTGCTACTTGCTGTGACAGCGAGCGCGAGTTCGACTCCCGCTGGGGGCATTCATTTGTATGATAAGCGCGAATGTTTGTACTCCAGCCATGGGTGTTAATATTTATAATATGTATGTATTTAAAGTTATATACGTGTAGTGTATCAACTATCTGTTATCCATAACACAAGCCTCGTAGCTTACCATGGAACTAGATGGTGCTGTGTGTTAATGTCCCAACATATTTATTTAACTTTAGAAAAAGATTAGGCAATTGGCTGGAAGAGCCACGGTGATGGACATAATACTTAATATTATACTGTCAATTAACATTAATACTAAAAAAACAAGTATTATCTCAAAGTGTGTTGCTCGTGACATCAAAGGGAATGTACATATAAATGTTATATAAAAGCTTACATAAACAGGGCTCATACGCTTTAATTATATCTCCCGTCGTTGCGAAATACTGTATTGTCTCGGTTTACTACACTTTCTTTATTACCAGCACTAGTTAGAACACGAGGTTATGCCCTTTGTAATTACATATATAATATTATTAATCTATAATAAAATTGTTACTGATTGTAAGTCAGATCTGTAAATTAAATATTTTTTTGACAATCTTATTTAAATAGTCATTATTATCAATACAGAGGACGAATTTTTAGTTTTTAGAATTTTTGTCTGTCTGTCTACCTGGGAACGTATCGCGACAGATTTTGATGAAATTTTATATGATGATAGCTGATTATCCGGGTCAACATATAGGATACTTTTTACTGCGGGAAAATATCTTATCTCTGAGAATTCTATACTAGACAAAAATAATAATAGATAAAAAATATTAATATAACTTTTAAACACATCTGTTTTTTTTGGGTAAATAAAATACTACATATATTTTATCGGTTCGGTTTTTTGATTATTTCATAATTTTGTTATCTTGTTTTTTTTTTGAGGTTTCAAAATGTATAAAAAGACAAAAACAATGATGTCTGGCCGCTGGCGGACTCTAGGAGTTCACCCTAGTGGAATTGCTTACTTATTGATAAACACCTGTGTTCCTACATATTGTGTTTATATAAAAAATATGAAAATATTACTTTAGTATATAGTTTGTATTTAGCCCTTTTTAACGTCCCACTGCTGGGCACGGGCCTCCCTTCAATACGAGGGGGATCAGGCTATAGTCCAGCACGCTGGCCAAGTGCGGGTTGGCGGACTTCACATGTCTTTTGAAAACTTGCTAGGTTCTCTCAGACATGCAGGTTTCCTCACGATGTTTTTCCTTCACCGTAAGAAAAGTGGTAATCATGTTAGAAATGATTCGCACATGAAAATATCAGAGGTGCCAGACCCGGGATTTGAACGTGCTTCACTCGGTTTTCCAAGCAAGCGCGTTACCACTGGGCTACCACTGCCGTTTTCAGTATATAGTTTAGTCCAATAAATATAAAAAATATTTTTCTTATATTTGAGAAGCTAAATTCTTGATTGCTTTCTATTGAGAAATAAAAAATTATAATTAAAAAATTATAATTATATAATTGGAGCATCCTTATATTATAATATTGTACAAGCTCTATAAAAGAAAATACTGCATAAGTAAAATACTAACAATTAAAACTTAAAATATATGAGAAAATGCACCCATTTTTGTTCGATGTCGATAGAGTAAAATACGCTTAAAGCTAAGCAAAGACAATTTAAACAATATTTTCAAAGACTAAACGATCCCTTTAACATTTTAAATCAACATAAACAAACACCATTTACATATTTCGCATTATTTTACGTACAATGCCGAGTACTAGTGATGTACATGAGAATTAGTTCGCATTTGCATGCTAATTGAATAATAAAGTTTTTTAAATCTTTTTACTTTAAAACGTGAAGAAAGTGGGTAAGTTTTGAGTTTTAAGAGTTAAAAAATCGTATAAGAAATAAAATTATAGAGAAAGCAATTATCTGGCAGAATTTTCAAATTGTAATAATCTTATTTTAATTTAAATAAAACTTTCGGAAGATATAAAAAAATATACAATTTTATGGAGATAATACATTTTTTTCACATTGGTGGTTTTAGAGGAGCTTAATAAATATAAATAAATGTGTTAAGATATTAACACATATCACTATCTAGTTCCATGGTAAGCTACGAGGCTTGTATTATGGATACCAGATAGTTGATACACCACAAATAACTTTAATACATAAATATTATAAATATAAACACCCATGACTGGAGTATAAACATTTATGATCACGATACAAATGAATGCCAGAATGACAATACAAACAACGGGACTCGAACTCGCGACACAGCAAGTAGGGTCACTACAAACTGAGCCAAACGTGTCAAGCAAAATTATCGCAAGGATAGGACATCACAGGAGATGTCCTATCCTTGCGATGTATATGTTATAAATTATGTAAATAAAACTGGTAACCTATTACTTCATTTATAGTTGTATCCTCAATAAATATGTAATTTTGTCCAACACAACATATGGACAATCATTTCACTCTTGTCATTTCTATACCATTGTTACATATGATCACCTCTACCATGTGCCTTTGCTGTATATTAAATATAAAAATATTATATGCTGCCGTAATATTGTTAATTTTCGCGATTCTACTATATATAAGTTATTATCTACTTGACGCAGTAGCAGTGAAACTGGTTTTTTAACTCGAAGAAGTTTTATACATAATATAGCATTGTGCAAATATTCGTTATGACAACCGTTTGATGTTAATCTTAGGATGCTTGACGACTGGATCATCTTATTGCGTGTGGTCTTACTTTATAATATTACTAGCAGAACCCGCGGCAGTTTCAAGTGATTCTGATCATAAATATTTTTTTGAATTGTATTAGGTATAACTTGTTTTCCAGTGGGAATTAGATAATCTCCCGCGGTAAAACGTAGCCTTAGATGTTACTTTCCAGCCCTCCAACTATCTCCACACAAAAAATACGCAAATCCGTAACTCCGTTTCCACGTAAAAGAAGGACAAACAAACACACTTTCCACACTTTCACATTTATAATATTAGTATGCATAAGCTACCATTTCCTAATTGAAATTTTGTTACTAGTGTTGTCCCAGGCATTGAAATTCGAGCATAATCATTATTGAAAATTTGAGGAAAACATATATGAAAAGAATTGCCTATTTATATATTTTTTAAACTAACCGATTGCTAAAATTTTATTACTGAACAAAAAAAAGGAGAAACGGATACTGAATAGTTTTGATTTATCCTTATCTATTTATAAAATGTATGTACGTATTTAAAATACATGTGTACATAGTGTATCAACTATCTGGAATCCATAACACAGGCCTTGTAGCTTACCATGTAAGCACATATATATGTATATATATATATATATATATATATATATATATATATATATATTACTACGAGTACTTAACTTCAACAACATGAACCGTAATCATTAAATTATTAGACATTTATTTTCAATTCGATTTAGTTTATCTAGTTATCTGTTATAACCTGTCTTTGGATTTATTTAATTATAAAATATAGATATTATACGAGTAGTTTTAAAGTTCTAAAATAAACATGATTCTAACCAAATGTAATGAGCTCAAACTTAAAGTTTTTATAGTTAGTTGAAGAGTTAAGCTATCT